GGGGGGGAGGTGTGCGGGGGACCCATTTCTACGCGACCGCGACCGCGAACAGATTGTTTCTAGATGCTGTAGTATGTACGGTATGACACATCTCGCAACGGTACGGGATCGTTTGCTTATCGGCTCGTGATTATGCTTAAAAGACGTAATTCTTTTTAGGGGGGAGGTGGGGGTTTGAGAAATGGAAGGATTTCTTGCGGATGGAAAGTTTCAGTCCGGTGGGAAAAGTCGGTGTAACTAACGCGTGATGGTCAGAGAGGAGGGAGCCGACAGGCAGACAGACAGCCTGGCTTTGTTGGGGGACGGTTAGGTGGTAGGTAGGTAGGTAGTTGGTTCTACAACGAGAGAGGACGCAAAGCGAGAGCTAGCTAACGTATAGAAACGAACACAAGAACACTCTGATACGTATCACGTTTTTGATAGACTCCGATCTGGTATACTTGACTCCGTGCAGTGAACATCGTGATCCAATTGCACCAGGAATATGTGAGATGGACGGAATGAAAGAACTGTGATGCCATGCGCAAGTCGTTGATTCTCATTGTGATCGTAGCAAGCATAGTTTTCCTTATACGTTCATCACCCGTTCATCATCCGTTCATGTGTTCGTTAGACTATCCATGTCGAGATCCAGATCTGCTCAGATCCAATCCATTCTCCAATCCATTCATGTCCAAATAGTCCATCTCGCGCACCAGAAGCAGCCGGCCATCAAGCCCCCCCACCCATTCCTTCCACATAGGAAAAAAAAAGAAAAAAAAGAGGAAAAAGAAAAAAGCTCAACCACTCCACTCCATCCTATCCGAAATCGGCCCGGCCGTCAACTTCCTCAAGTGCCCTGTCGCACAGCTTTCGATACCTCTCCCCATCGAACCTCTTGCGCTGCCACCCGTCCCTCTTCAGCCGCTCGATCCTCGCCCTTAGCTCCTCCGTCTTCTCCTTCTCGCTACTAGCGCCTTCTCCTGCGTCCTCGCTCCGTTTCGTGCCCGGAGCGGCGCGTGAGTACCGCGCAGATGCCGTGTCAGCGCGAAGCGATTGCCTGGTCTCGGTATGGGTGTCGGTCTTCGGGAGCGAGGAGATTTGGGCGTGGATGGAAGAGACGTGGTACTCGAGCTGAGATTTCAGGTCGGCGGCGAGGTGCGAGAGGTAGGGAGAGTTTGGTCGCGCGGGGAGATGGTCCGATTTGGATGTTGGTACCGTCTTGGGGGCTGAGGTTGTTTCCGCCGGTGGGGGGGATCGCGACATGAGCGTCGGATCACGCGCCTGCTCCTCCGCCGCAGCAGCACTAGGCGGCGGGGAAGGGAACGAAGAGAGGAGGATTGACTCGTCGAACGCGATGTCTATAGTGCGGAGGATGGCTGACTCGGACTCGGAGGATACCGTCGGCAGATTCAGTGAGAAGGAGACTTTCTTCTTGCGGCGTCTGGGGCTGGAACGACGTCCGGGGCATTCGCTCTCTTCCTCTGAGGAGAAGGACGAGGAGGGGGGGTAGCTACGCTTCATAACTTCTTCATTGAATGTCGGGGAGTCTGGTAGAGACGAAGCGGTGGAGAAGAGGGACGATGCCGAGGCAGATGAGAAGACGGACGAGATGGAGGAGGGCGAGATGGAGGCCACCGAGGAGTGACGAACATGGCCGCATTTGGCGGTTTGGTGGGATGCGAGGTCCGAGTTATGATCTGAGCTAGAGGAGGCGTGCTCAATGAACTGCAAAGCCACTTGGTAGAGCGCGAGGGATTCCTGGTAGAGGAGGAGTTTGGTGCTGGAGTGATTAGGCAGCGTACTGGCTGTCATTTCCAAGGAGCTGGCCGCGAAGAAGGAAAGGTAGATGGAATAGAACGGGTGTATTTTGTACTTTTATGCTCTGTCAGTATAGATTTGGGATGTCGAGCTGGTTGGGGGAGACGCGTGACATACAGGATCCTTGATGCCTTCGAGGATTTGCTTGCATCGCATCGTACATCTCTTGTATTGGCCCTTTGAATACAGCCCCTTGACTTCCTCCATAACTGCGCTCCACTCCCTCGGCGTGTAGGGCAATAGCTTCAGGTTTGTCACTGAGCCGGGTCGACTTTTCTTCTGCGCAGGAGGTGGAGGAGACTTGCGCCTTGCAGGTAACAGAGGAAGAGGTTTGTCTAGGGCTGGTGAAGCCAGGGTAGCTTTAAGTCTTAGGGGAATAAGTCGAGCCATATCGTGCGATGGGTCTTTCTCGGCTCGGGCGCTGGAAGCGGGAAGATTTTTGTTTGTTGTCGATTGGAAGTCGTTTGTCTTCACCACGGGAGCTGCTGAATTTGCGAGGATCCAAACCGGGCTTTCTGAGCGATGATTCTTCAAAATGCCAACAACATTGGTATCTGGTGTCGGGTCCTCCAGCATCTCATCCTCTGGCACCGGAGAGCAAATAGGGAAGAGAGAGTATTGAGACGACCGACGACGATAAGGCATTTCCGACGAAGAAGACATGGCTGATATTGAATGGGTATGTGTGTCGGGGGCTAGGGGGCTCGAGGAATCGCACATGGAGCGTCTGGCGGCAGCGGCAGCGGCAGCGGGCAGCAGCAGCAACAAGATCAGATCTGACGAAAGCCCAAATCGCAATCAACCAAGGAAACACGATGGATGCGGCCAACAATTATATGCGCGAAAGAAGCAACGCAAAGATGAGTGGGTGCCCCTGAAGCTTTGCTCCGCTCAGCTCAATATAGAAAAACACGGAATTTTTGGCTTAGAAGGGGGGCATACGCACAAGGGTACAGACAGACAGACCAGCCACCCGCCAATGCCAATTGTGAAGAAGATGGGATGGCACCAGCACCCGCACTCGCACCCGCAGCCGCACCCGCAGCCGCACCAGTCTGGCCTATTTCACTGTGAGACACAATTCTCTTCGAAGAAAAGGCTGAAGCTCGGTGGAGGTTTGTGGAGATTGAGGAGGTTGTTTTGTCGAAGTGGGAGCGGACAGTAAATTTCTTTCTTTCTTTCTCGACAACCAACACCGACCGGTACCACAGGGGCCAAACAGCAGCCGCGCATGGGGGTCTGGGCAACACTGGGCAGCGTGGGAGTGGATACTCTGTGCAGACCAGAAATACGGAGTGGACAGACCAGCATGAGTGCAGATCAGACCGACCTCCTGCCGACTCGACGTCCGGGATCCTCAAAGCGCACCGGGCACAAGGCACAAGAGCAGAATAGCAGCAGCGGACGGCACTGCTTTGGAACAGTACCAGTACCAGTACCAGTATATTGGCGGCGGCGCTGTCAATGACACACACACAGACTCGGGACTACTGTGCGCACATTACGAAAGAAGGAAGATGGATTTGTTGGTGATACGCAGGAATGGACGATGCGGTCGCTGACGTCCTATTTGGCCTTCCCCCTTTAATTTCTTCCAGGAGAGAGTCACGACTTGGAGGTAGACGATGAGATGGCATGCCATGATACTACAAAACATACTTGGGCTCAGAGAACACTCGATCGAATCGAATGAGGGACCTGACGGGACCGACGACGAGCGGACGGTACCTGCTCCGACTCCAACTTTACTGTACACGCTATCAATCCCAAAAGAAAATACACTCATCCCCGTCGTGTACACAGCCGAGTTTCGCAATTATTCCGCCGAGGCGCCAAAATCAAGCCGAAACCATGGATCGACGAAAGATGAAAATAGTAGTACTGCTACAACGTAAATCGGGATTTAAGGAACGACCCCGACCTCGCCAAGAAAAGCAAAGATAGATACTACGTACACGCCTCGGTCCGGGGCAGACCTGGCCTTGTTCTCGTCCGAACTTCCGGAGCTGCTTCCCAGCAACACAACACCAACCCACGGTCTCCCCCTCCCTTCTCCGTGTCAGATCTATCTAAACTTTGACTGTACCGTCCGTCATCTTAGGAATCCTCCCTCCGTCATCTCTTTCCGGGTGTCGCGCGCGGCTTCGGTGATGGCGATATATTAACAATTTCTTCTTCAATCTTTCCTGCAGTCCTGCAGGAACGGGTGAAGAGCTTGCCTTGCTTGAACAAGATGAGGCTGGATCCCCTCCCCGGTGGCAGATTTTAAGGTATGTCTCATGCTTAATTTTTCTTTTCCTCTCTGCAGGATTAAGGAGGCGTGGCCAGTTGTCACTACTCCGTACTCAAGCTTGAGCCGTTATCACATTACTATCGAGTCTGGAGGAACGAACTCTTTCTTCTTCTTCTTCATCATCTTCTTGCTTTTTGCCGGCACCCCCGATTGTATGCATAGCTAGCGGGTTAGCTGCGTTCGAGAAATGGCGGTGGCTGGCGTATTTGGATTCGCGACTTATCCATGAGGATGTGACCCGGCCTACGGAGCATCAAGCTTCAGGACCGAGCGGCATACCTACACTCCTTTCCATATAGTAATATAATTTACGGTAACATTACAATCCACATCATTAAGTGTAATTTGTAGCAATACATTCCCATCACTCATCCGCCATCTTCCAGCTATTAGACTATCTTCGTCCCAGTGCCTGCAGCTTGGCTCATGAAGAAGCCCTTCAACGGGCCCAGGGCATTCACAGCCCTCAGCCCAAGGCTCCGCAGGGGGACCAAGGGACCGCTCTCCACAGCATACAGCTTGTGCAACTTATCACACACGCCTAGCAGGATATGGTTCGACGCGTATCTTTCCGAGTTGTAGGCCTCTAGAGACATCTGGACGCCAATGTCCTGCCCGTGAGTGACGGCATATTCGATCGTCTTGGCTAAGCTTTCGACGTCGCCTTGGCCTTGGTTGAGACCCTGCCCGGCTAGAGGATGGATGGTATGCGCTGCGTCCCCGACGAGAGCAACTCGCTCTCCAATGTACGTGTCGGCGTGGCGTAGCTTGAGCGGGAATGATGCCACACTTCCCTCTTGGACACCCGTGGCTATCTGCGGAATCCTGGACGGATCGAACTTCGTGTGCTGTGAGCGCCACGCAAATTCTTCTGCCTGTCCTTCCGCTTGAGTGTGCATATAAGCGAGGTCCACTGGTGACAGCCTGAACGCCGCATTAACCATAGCAATAAAGTCCTTCGCACTCAGGGTCTTTAGATGTGCTGCCAACGCCGGAGTAGTTGACCAAACCAAGGTCGAGAAGTTGCCCGGCAAAGGAAGCATGGCCACGGGTCCCGTAGGCAAGAACCTCTGATACGCCGTCTTGACATCCTCTCCTCCCCATCCACTACCCTCCAATTCGATGGTAGCTACCACTCCATGCCTCTCATAATCCCAGCCCTGACTCCCAATACCCGCGAATGCCCTCACGGGGCTATTCTGCCCATCAGCGCCCACCAGTAGCCTCGCAGCGACTTTCCTTCCTCCGCTCAACTGGACAACAGGCCAGCTGCTCAGATCCGCCTCCTCGGTCTCCTCTCCCAGCGCAATCACCTCCAGCTTCTGCCCATCCAGCACCTCCACGCCTCCCAGCTCCTCAATCCGCTTCAGCAGCGCAGACGTCAGGTTGAGGTTCTCGTTCATGTACGCAATCGTGCTCCCCTGCTTTTCGCCCGGCCAGTCGAACTCGATCCTCGCATCCGTAATCCCGTCCCAGACCTGCATCTCCTGGTAGGCCTGTACGCGCTCCCTCTGTACGTGGCGCCATGCCCCGATCTTTTCCAGGAAGCGTACCGACGAGGGCGTGAGTGAGCTGCAGCGATTCGAGAACTTCGTGGCGGGGAGAGAGAAGGTGCGGGTCCTGCTCAGATCTTGGCTTTCTACCAGGGCGACTTTGAGGTTTGCGGTGGCGGGGGATGAACCTGTTGATGCGGTTTTAGCTGAGACAGATGGAGGAAGAGGGAGGAGGGGAAGGGGTGGGTGTACGGAGAGCAGCTAGGAGGCTGAGGCCGGCTGGCCCTCCTCCTACGCAGACAACGTCATATATATCCGGAGTCGATGATGAGGTGGTTCCGTATTTTCTCCGTTGCCGGCTCAATTGACGATTGCAGCTTCTGCATACATACTCATTTACCAATCGAGATGTCGATGCTCGTGCTATGGTTGCCATGTTGCGTTGAGGCTTGCGTATAGGATAGACTTTCGAGGGGATCATGGTGAGGAAGTCAAATCGCGTAATCACGTGTATTATCTGAGCTAGACGAACAAAATTTGCCGTCTCCTGTTGTGTGGCTCATGGCAGAATGCCAATGGATTTGTTCACTAGGCTCATGTAGCCATTTGATCGTCTGAGGTCATATCTAAGGTATCATGGTTTGCGCCTCCGCAAGGCCTCCAAAAGTAGACTTTCTCGCTACCGTCCCGTCACAAACGCCTGCAAACCAAATGCAACCTATGCTCGCCTGAATGGATGCTGCCACTTGACTTATTTACATCTCTCTGACTACGAGGGCGAGGAATCCGATAGCTTCTCCGTTTCTGGAACTGTTGCACTCTCAGGAGCAGCTGAAGTCTCCGCAGGCTTCTCTTCCTCGACTGGCTTCTGCTCGACAGGATTCACTGCCTCTGGTGCCGGTGTGGCTTCGGATACTTGCGTAGCAGCAGCGGCTTCCCCCGTAGGAACTATCTCAGCTTCGCCCTTCATACCACCAATAACCTTTAGCCCGTCTGCCTCCTGAACCAGCGAATCGAGATCCGCTTTCCGCTTCAGGCGTTGCTTGACTTCGACAGCGACATTTTCCAGGTCGACAAGAACACCCTCCTTCTCGGGGTGGCCCTCGCGGAGACCCATTTCCTTGATCTTTACTTTTTTCTGCTTCACTTCATCCTCGCCGATGACGATTGTGAATGGCACACCGTTGACTTCAGCTGATTTGAATTGAGCGGGTAGCTTTGGCTTGATCTTGTATGCGAATTCGGCCTATGCGAGTTAGCTCAACACATTTTTCTAGCTCGGGAAAGTGTTCTACCTTGATGCCAGCGTCCCACAGTCTGGTGCAAACGTCCAATCTCTCCGTCACCAGTCCAGTGAAACCCTTGCCTCCGAAAGCCATGACGTAGACATCGACTTCGTTATTCCGTACAGCCTGGGCGTTCTTTTCCGCAAGCATGCGTGCCTTTGTGATTGAGAAGATTCTGTCGACACCGAACGAGATGCCCACGCAAGGGATCTTGTTCTTGCCTGAGAACATCCCTACAAGCTCATCGTATCGCCCGCCTGCCGCCACACTACCAACACCCACGCTAGGATCTGACGAGCGGTCCTCATCAGCGTCTGCGCTCTTGGAAGGCTTTTTTGATGACTTGGGTGGTGCTGTGGTTGTTGTAGACGTGGATGCTGGTGCTGCTGATTCTTTCGTGACAACTTCGTAGATGATACCTGTATAGTAATCCAACCCACGTGCTAAGCTCAAGTCGAACGAGACGTTCTCCAGAGCTTTGAATGCCTTAAGGTACTCAAACAGCAGATCCATTTCCGCCATGCCTGCCTTCATAGACTCATTCGCTGCAAGCTTCTCGTCTGCTTGTAATCTGTTCAAGAGATCATTTTGGCCTTTAAGGATGACGTACTCGCCGATTCTGTCAGCGACATCTTCAGCCAGTCCCTTCTCCTCAACCATTTCCTTGCGTACTTCTACCCATGGTTGCTTGTCCAGTTTGTCTACCGCGGAGGAGATGGTTCGGATCTTGTCTGATGGTACACCACAAACCTCAAAGATTCCATCCAAGATTTTCCGGTTGTTCAGCTTAATAGTATAACTGCCGTTCCACCCTAGACCCTCAAATACTTCGGATATAATTCGTATGATCTCTGCATCTGGAAGCATAGGATCGTAAGTGCCCGCGATATCGAAATCGCACTGGTAGAACTCTCTCATTCGGCCCTTAGTCATGGCCGGCTGATCGCGTCTATAGACTTTGGCGATGTGGTATCTCTTGATGTTCTGAACATCCCGGTTCATTGCCAGCCATCTTGCGAAAGGCACAGTCAAATCATATCTCAACGAGCAGATCTCTCCACCCTGGTCCGCAAGGTCGTAGATGAGTTTGCTGTCTTCGCCATATTTCCCTGCCAGGATTTCCTTCAGCTCAAAGACGGGGGTATCGATCGTGACTGCTCCGTGGCGCTTGAAAACCTCGGTGATAGTAGAGAAGATCTTGTCCCTGATCACCATGTCCTTCCCCTCCCCTGTCCAATCGTGAGCGCATGTTCCAGTGCCAGTCACAAGTGGTTGGGGCAAACTCACAATCTTTCGTCCCCTTGGGAGTCTTCAATTCGAACTTCTGACCCTTTGGCGCCATCTCGTCGCCTGCTTCAGTCCTGCGCCTTGCTGTGACTGAGAAGGCCCGTCCTCTGTTGATAATTGCCCAAACGGGTGGAAGTAGTTGTATTATTGATCGCGGGCTGTGTAATACACCAAACGATCTCGCAGATCTCAGCAGTTGTTTTTGTAAAGCCTTCATCCACTCTCACGATCTGGGAGTTGAATAAAGAGGGTTTCGGGCTGGAATTTTGAGAAATTCTGACTCATTGGTGGGCGAAGAAGTTGAATCATTCAGCCTTGCGCTCGCTTGGTGGTCGACTGGCCGGCATTGGTCGACCCAGTGACATGGACTCCACACCGGAATTTCCGCCTGGGCCTCACCATTTGTTCTTGTTCTTATCTGCCCATCTCTCCTCTCCTCTCTTCCCGCTCATCAGCCCGCATGTAGCTCAAGATGGCTCCTCATGCTGGGTTCGATGCCGACCAGATTAAAGACAAAGCTCGCAAGGACCTTCTTTTTTTACTCGAAGGCGTAAGTAAGGGCTCCCACCAACCTCTGAAGCTGTGCGGGATATTTTCTAACCCGCTTCTCTCACAGGTTCGCGGTAAAAAAAATCTGGTTCTTGAGAGAAGTCTGGCTGGTCCAATAGGCATATTCGTCAAGTTTTCGACCCTTCAGGACTACGGTGTCGATAAGGTCTTCTTCTTGGAGAACGGCAATGCGGATGTCAGCCAGCCAAATGTGGTGTTCATTGCCCGCGGCGAGAGTGCTAGGCACGCCCAATCCATAGCTGGTACGTTTCTCGGTCCACTCCAAACCACCCCAATCTTTGTTTTCCATGGGCTCTTAAAGTAGACTTCGTAGAAGTACTTCATCCACTCTACGTAGTCAGTCTTGAGCCCTACATTAATCAACTACAGCACGATACGGCCTTTATATGTAGTGTTGATTTCCACTCATTATGTTTTCATATACTTTGTCGTCTCGCGCTGACACTCTTCAGATCATATCAAACGCATGCAACGAGAAAGTCAGACTGGACACGAATTCTCAATATTCTGGGTTCCACGAAGGACTCTTGTGTCCGAAAAGATACTCGAGGAAGCAGGAGTTCTGGGAGACACGAGCATCGCAGAGTTTCCCCTCTATTTTCTCCCCCTCGAAAAAGACCTACTGTCTCTTGAGCTGGATGATTCGTTTGCCGATCTGTACCTGCGTAGAGATCCTACGCCGACATACCTACTGGCACGTGCTCTGATGCTGATACAGCTAAAGCATGGGTTGTTTCCTCGCATTACTGGGCAGGGTGACAATGCGAGGAGGCTTGCAGACTTGCTTGCCCGAATGCGACAAGAGTTGGTCGCAGGTGAAGACACAAATGAAAGCAATAGGCTAGGGCTGACACCGAGCACGACTATGGAAAGTCTTATTGTGATCGATCGCGAAGTCGACTATGCGACTCCGCTGCTTACGCAGTTGACATACGAAGGGCTGATTGACGAGGTTGTAGGAATCCAAAACAATCAGGCTGATGTAGATTCATCCATTGTTGGTGTCGCTCCTCAACCGCCACCAGGATCCTCGAAAGCAGGGGGCGGGGCAACACAAGCAAAGAAGCGAAAGGTCATGTTGGATTCTTCCGACAAGCTCTACGAGCAATTGCGGGACACCAACTTTGCGATCGTGGGAAGCCTGTTGAATGGAGTCGCCAGACGCCTCAAGGGCGATTATGAAAGTAGACACGGGAACAAGACCACGGCAGAGTTAAGGGAATTTGTGAATAAATTACCGGGATACCAAGCAGAACAACAAAGCTTGAAGATACACACAGGCCTTGCCGAAGAGATTATGAAGCATACCCGTACAGATCAATTCAGCCGTTTGCTTGAGGTGCAGCAAAATCTGGCGGCTGGCGCAGACCCAACCTCTCAGCACGATGCGATAGAAGAGCTTATTGCACGAGATGCACCACTCGCAGAAGTTCTGCGAATCCTGTGCCTGGAGTCATGCATATCTGGTGGCATAAAACCTCGTGAGTTAGAAGCCTTCAAGAAAATGATTCTACAAGCCTATGGCTATCAGCACATTCTCACGCTAGACGCCCTCGAAAAGCTCCAATTACTCCTTTCACGAAGCTCTCCAATGGCTTTGATGATCCCAATGACTGGCGGACCCGCGAACACTGGTACAAAAACCAATTACACGTATCTGCGAAAAGCTCTCCGACTCATTGTGGATGAGGTCAACGAGCACGACCCGAACGACATTGCTTACGTGTACAGCGGATACGCGCCATTGTCGGTACGTCTAGTTCAATGTATACTGCAAAAGCAGTATCTCACATCAATCACTCGAGGTGCCAATGCGGGTAATCTTGCTGCCGTGGCGACTGCTGGTGCCTCGCAGGGCTGGAAAGGTTTTGACGAGGCGGTGAAGCATGTGCGAGGACAAACATTTGACGAGGTCCAAAAGGGTGAGGACAAAGCAGTTAAGGCCCGCACTCTCCTTTCTGGCAGCGGCGAGAAGAAGATTGTGTTTGTTGTCTTCTTGGGCGGGATCACTTTCACTGAGATTGCTGCGTTGAGATTCATCGCCAAGAAAGAAGAAGGTATGTACACCACCCTCCTTCCCACCCTTTCCACGACTTGCCATGCTGACCTCTTGTGAACCAGCGCGAAAACAAATAATCATCTGCACAACTTCGGTTATCAGTGGGAACAAGATCATGGACGCAGCTATCGAGAAGGCATCCTTAGGGAAGAATACTGTACAAGACTTGTAGAGAATTTTGAGCGAGTGAGGGATGGAATATTTCCAGTCACTTGCGGTAAACTCTGAGCGTAATTTAATTATGATATACCCAATTACGAAACTATATGATTCGGTGATATTTTAGTGGTTGTCCCTAAGATAGGTAATCAGAACGATGAAGGATTCGCGGAACCCAAGCTTTTGAGACCTGCTCGGCTTCACCACAGACACCACCTTGAAGGCAAATCCACCTGAACAGTAAATAGATAATTAGACTCCTATAGGCACAGGAAAGGTAAATGACCACTCTAACGAGCCGTCTGTTAGCCGGTATCTTTACCTTGATTTGAATGGCACGTTGGAAGAAGCATATTAAGCATCGTCAATTTTAAGACCTCCACGTGATTGCTCCACCTCGCTTTGGCGCTGGATTGCCATCGTCCCTCATTCCGAGCCGAAGCCAGAAGATATCAATATCGAACCCCTCGACAACCCTACGAATACTCCCGAGTCCCAAGAGGATACCAGTCTCCTTTACGAGCAAACACGATACTTGTATAAGACATTGCGGGCCATACATACACATGAGAAGGGGCAATATCGCATACGGCCGGTGAGACTCGTTCCACGTGGTGATACATATATATCAATGTCAAGTGGGTGGAATAGTAGCTAATAAACATTGCTAGGGTTTGAAACTTCGATCCATCGGCAGTCCCCATGATATTTAGTCGTGGAGTTTAGGAGGAGCGAATATCAAGTGGCAGGGGGACTTCGAGTAGCTGACCCAGCCCAGCCCATTACCGACAACCTCCATATATGACCAAGCAGTCACCCAAGTCACAAGACTAAGGGGCACAGAGATGGCAGCGATAATGGACATTCAAATGCAGCATCTCGATGATCTTAATCTGATGGGTCTACAAGAGCTGGACTCGCACTTGTCAATATTCGAGTCTTCGAATCCTGGAATGGAGTCATCTATCGGTACACCAGAATCAACATCTAACTCTACCTATGGCGACTCCATCAACACGACTGACCAGCTAACCACAATCGTTGTTGAAGCGCCAGACGAGAACTACACTATCAAGAATCCTTATGGATCCCGTGCGAGATTTGCTAATGCGATCCAGTATGTATTCGCGCCTTCCCTTCATATGCTCAAGTTTTAGCTTCAATTACATATTTTTGGGATGACTTGAAGGTCTTTTAACGTATCCACCATAGACCTGAGCACCTTACTAAGTCGGGCCCGGATGGCAGCCTGCAACTTAGACCTGAAAGCGGTCGGGATTCGATGGCATCGTCAATGAACACGGATATCGACGACGGTTCATCGGCCCTTTCCTCAATATCGAGCAAAGCAACATCTCCTATGGGATTTCCTGATGGACGCTCAAATCAGACCACAAGTTCGGCATCGCATAATGTCAAGCGTCGTGAGAAATACACTGTCCGGCCAAAAGTCTCTATACCAAGCGACCTCACCCCGAGCGAGTACGCAAGACAGTGCATTGCAGCCGCCGAATCCTCCCGTCTCAACCCGTACAGTTTGCATCCCGAGGAACATGCAATGTTGCGTCAACACATCACCCATCAACAAGTCACAACATATCTTAATATCCGGAATGGCATTTTAAGGCTGTGGACGAGAAACCCCATGATCGGAGTAATGCGCGATGAAGCTATCGGATGCGCAAGAGATATTCGTTGGTTCGACACTGCCAGAGTTTGCTATGAGTGGCTAGTGCGACGAGGCTACATCAATTATGGCTGTCTCGAGCTCCTAGAATCTGTGAAAGAGAAGAAGCCCCGAGGCCACAAGAGAAAGCGGAAAACAGTCGCCGTTATTGGTGCTGGTATGTCCGGCTTAGGCTGTGCAAGACAACTGGAAGGTCTCTTCTCTCAGTTTGAAGAGAGATTTCGAGCGATAGGCGAGGATCCACCCCAGGTTGTTGTGCTCGAGGGTAGAGACCGGATCGGCGGACGCGTGTATTCCCGAGCGATGAAATCGAGACCGAAGTATCCTACTCTCGGTTACGGAAGTCGGTACACTGCTGAGATGGGTGGAATGATCATCACTGGCTTTGATCGCGGCAACCCTCTGAACATCATTGTTAGAGGTCAATTAGCATTACCATATCACGCTCTGAAACCGGACACCACAATCTATGATGCTATTGGAAGACCGGTGGACATAAATCGCGACCAGTTTGCAGAGAAGTTGTTCAATTACATTCTCGACAGGGTCAGTGAGTACAAATTCAAGACGCCAACACCTTTCGCTGCGGAGGGTGATAAAGACCTCTTGGATGCTGGTAAAGATGTCAGCTCTGAAGGAACCAGAACCATAGGCGAAGCTGAGGATGTTCCAAGTAGGCCGACAACAAGTTCAAATAAGCAGGCATCTCGCGCCCCTTCGGAACAGATGATACCCGTATCCTCAGACCGACTCACAGGCAGAGCACATCTTGAGCCTGGGATCCCAGGCGTTCATACAGCTGCTTTCAAAGCACAAGAGATCGGTTGGCGTCTTCGGCCAGGTGTCGGAGTCGAGCAAGACTTGGACCTTGAGAATGTCGTCAACTCGAAATATGCCACGCTAGGCTTGGTTTTCGACGAGGCCATTCGACAATACACTCGAATCATCGACTTTGCCCCACTTGATCTGCAACTGATCAACTGGCACGTCGCTAATCTAGAATACAGCAACGCTATCACTTGCAACAAGCTGAGTCTAGGAGGATGGGACTTGGATGCCGGAAATGAGTGGGAAGGTAAACATACCATGGTCACTGGTGGCTACCAGCAAGTTCCTCGAGGTCTGCTGAACTGTCCGGAGCCATTGAATGTTCGACGAAGGAGCAAAGTCACACGCATTGCCTACAGGCCTGAAAGCAACGACTCTCCATCGTTAATCGAATGCGAGAATGGAGAAACACTTGAAGCAGACTATATCGTCTCCACAATACCGCTGGGTGTGTTGAAGCAGCAAAATATCACGTTCGAACCCGCCCTGCCTGATTGGAAGATGGGACCTATTCAAAGAATTGGCTATGGCATCTTGAACAAGGTCGTTTTGGTGTATGAAAAGGCTTTCTGGGACCAGAGTCGAGACATCTTTGGAATCCTCCGCAATCCAGCAAACCGGTTTAGTCTCGAGCAAGCGGAGTATTTCTCACAGCGGGGTCGATTCTTTCAATGGTTCAATGTCACGAATACGACTGGGCTACCAACTTTACTGGCTCTGATGGCTGGTGACGCAGCATTCTCAACAGAGAGCACGCCCAACGAGCTGCTAATCGGAGAGGCTACGAGGGTTCTCAGAAGTGTGTTCGGTTCCCAGGTGCCCATGCCAATCGAATCTGTGGTGACTAGATGGGGCCGCGACGAATTTTCGTATGGAAGCTATTCATATACGGGCCCCAATTTCCAGCCAAACGACTACGAGGACATGGCCAAACCAATTGGCAATCTGTTCTTCGCCGGTGAGCACACTTGTGGTACTCATCCCGCAACTGTTCACGGTGCCTATATCTCTGGTCTGAGAGCAGCATCAGAAGTTCTGGAGACTATGATTGGTCCGATCGAGATTCCTACTCCACTGGTCTTGCCGAAAGACTCGTCGTTGAAGCGAAAATCTGACGTATTTCGAAGCTCGAAGGACCCAAAGCAAGCTCGTCTTGAGGCCTATGAAGCCGAGGTCTGGGATGCCATCTATGCAAAGCTGGGTGATCGACCCTGGCGACCTGCAAATAATTACGCAAATCCCTACCGCATGTACACCAAAGACAAATGGGACGAAGCCAAGCAGAAGTGCGAGACGGGTCGAAGACCAGGCAAGGGCAAGCCCATCCCAAACGAGGTGAAGAAGATGGTCACGAAGATGTGGAAGGAAGCCTCCGAGGAAGAAAAGCAACCATACAACGAGAGAGCAGAGGTACTGAAGAAAGCCTATGGAGAAGCAATGGCGGACTACAATCTAAGGGCCGGACAGTGGGATAAAGATGCTCTGGCATACCGCGAAGTATATGAAAAAGAGCATCCAAGCGTGCCAGCACCCGAGGAATTCGCGAGCCCTTCTCGAGACAGGCGAGCTAAGCGGGGTGTAAGTGGCTATGCAGAGGATACAGATGGAGAGGATGAACTTGAGCTTTAGGTTTGCGCGGGTCTATTCGCACTGTACTGCACATAACAACGGAGCATGGGGCTGGCTTTCAATGGCATTTTTAGGACGGTGGCTTGGGGCGCATTGCAGGTGTTGCTGTTGGTAAGAGAACGTCGCCACGGGGTTGCATATGGGCAGCCAGCCCATGAGCATATTAGCAGCATGGTCCCTTTCACTTTCGGGCATCGTCGCAGCAATCAATGAAATTGCTTGACACAAGTTGCATGAGGAGCATCTTATCGCGTCTGAAAGTGCCGGACTACCTAGTCGGCAGCCATATATCCATCTACTGCTCAGCCGGACCTCCTTCAACCATGATCGGTAACGGCCAGCCAGACGTCTTCGCGCGTTTCTTCAGCTTCTTTTTCTCTGAAAATGTAACCCACCACTCTATATTCTTGATACGTAAACTACAAAAACCAAATATGTATACTATTAATTAGACTACGAGGAATTGAATGCCAAAAAAAAATATATACATATATATTAAAATAAAAAAAATAAAAAAATTGATGTTCGTAAGATGATCAGTGGGTTGATTTATTGTCAATTTTATCTTTCGTATAGGTTACTCTCTCCCTGTGTGGGGGTCGCTTGTAGGGTCCTACGTCCTCGGTTCTGCTGATTCCGACGCGCTGCAGCAAACCGGCAAATTGTGATTCAAATGAATACTCAGGTGACGGACGAGTAGCAGTAGTAGCCTTACAGTTTGTCCACAAGAGAAAGAGGAAGGGGAGGGGGGGGGGGGGAGGAATCCCTCTACACTTAGAGTGAGAAAGGAACTTTGATCCCGAAAGCCGTCGAGCGTCAAAAAAGCCGAGAGGTTCAGTCTACGAGCACAAAAGTATATCATTTAAGGCCAGAAGCTCCTACAGATAGACCCTAGCCAACACGTCTTTTCGTGAGCTATGCTGCAGACTAAGTTTAGGATCGGTCCATCTCGTCGTTCGCGACCTCTCTCGGGACTTTGCTCAACGAGGCTGGTGGCTCTGTTGGTGCGTTGTCCGGAATTGCAGTTGTCTCCCCAGGAAGACCGGATTCTGGAGGTGCCGAGGTCTGATCTGCGGCTGTTGAGGCTTCCTTCTCAATCTGAGCAGCGGCTTCCTCTGCAGCAGCTCTCTCGTTGGCAGCTCTCTCCTGCTCCTCGAGCATAGTCTTCTCCCGGTCTGCAATCATCAGGGCAACATCCAATCTCATCTTGCGCTCGAACTTCGGCATTGTCTGTCCCTGTGCAAGCTTGCTGCCAGAAATGGCCTCCAGGTAATCCCGCTCGATTCGAACGAAAATTTCATCGGTATGCTCTGACATGCTACGATGAACATGCTTACACATTTCAAGAAGTAGGCCCTTTACCTCCTCGCAGCTCTCAGTGAACATGCTCTGGCGAACCGTGTCCACGTGTTGTGCCACGTGTGCCTAAAATGAAAGTAAACAAATATACGTCTTCATGTGTCGATAACTGGAATCGTATACCTTCATTCTGTTGAACTGACCATTGCCACTTTCATTCGTGCAGTATTGGTAAGCACTCGAGAGATTTCGGGCAATGACTGGAGTGAAATTTCGATTAGCCTCTCGTTGGAGGTCGCTGATAATAACCATCATTTTGTGGGATAATGTCACGAAAATATTTTCGTAATTTCTCAGTTGTTGTCCGAGTAATGCGAGTCTAGCCAAGCCAGTTCCAGTCTTCATGGTTTGAGTCACGATCTCCTTGTGAAATACAGTCAACAGGCTCTTTGCAGACCTAGAAAATTCCGAAAGAACACGAGGTAGTCTCTGAGCAAAAACCTTCTCCCAATGACTGGCCAAATGTTTGATGATGGGCTCGGTACTATCATATATTCATTAGTCTTTACTCGAACCAAAAGGTATCACGATCGAAGTCCTGTCTGCCTGCTTACAGTTGAGCGTTGAAATCATGCGGGCCTTGAGTGTTCGAGTACACTCCTTCGCGGCGCACGATAGCCTTGTAGGTTGCCCAGTAGTAGCCACCAAGTTCTCGGTTGTCTCGATTCACCTTGTCACCCCAACGTGCAACAGTTCCATTTGCCTCATTGACCGCGAGCTGAACGAGATGTTCGTAGTTCTCAAAGATATTCTCAGCAAGCGCCTCAGTCATATTCTTCAAGCAATCGCGAACAGCTTTGTCTAGACTTTCTTCAAGCATTTTAAGCCTCAATTTGAGGAAGCGTGTCCCAGCGGCTAATTGAGCATCCGTCAAGTTCAATCCAGTACCGTCGTTCTGAGCCCATAGACCTAGGGAATTGAGAAGTTGGCAGAGGTTGGTAAGGTAGTTACGGCAGTTCGAGGCTCTGCCCGCCTCCGTAAGCTTCTTGCAATGGGCTTGGAGTTGAGGGATTTCAGTCTCCTCGGCTTATGGGCACAGTCAGCAATGTCTTGGAGGGAAATTCACTAAACATAAAGGAGCCACCTGTACTAGGATGAATTTACCGGTGCGGAATCCTGGGACGTCCTTGTCACGTTGCAAGCGACCGCGGAGCTTTTGGTAGGCTCGAGAACTAACACAGAAGACCGGCAGGGACTTGGCAACTTCGTCGTAGTCTCTCAAGTCATCTGATCGATGTTAACACGGTGTTTCTCTAAATGTCCCAAAATATTGCGAGAACATTCTGATCATTGCTTAGCAACTGACCTTCAGGGTTAAACTGATCAGGATCTTCCTCTTGTGCGGTCTCCATATCTAACTCTCGAATGCCGTCGGCAAAGTCTCGTTGGATGGCTCCCTTGGAATAGTTGTTGCGACCTTCTTCAAGTCAGTATACGTCCTGCACCCTCCCAGACATAATGGGGACATTATTTGGAGAAAACCCCTAGGACAGCACACGAAATAATGAGGCGAGAGAGCATCGAAGAAGAAAACATACCCTCGATGCAGATAGCACTCATCGCAGCATCGATTTCAACTCGACTCCTCTCCAATGCCTTCTCTTCCTTCTGAAGAGACTTAGCTTGACTTGTAGCCTCGAGACGCTGTGCACGCGCGCGTTTCTTGTCGTCCTTGAATTGAGATATCTTGGCATCGATCTCTTCGATTGTCAAAGGATCTCCCTTTTCGGATACGACTTCCTCGTCCTCCTCGTCCTCCTCGTCCTCCTCGTCCTCCTCGCCTTCCTCCTCCTCATCGTCAATGAAGTCCTCGTCACCCTCGTCCTCATCATCGGAGTTCTTTTTGGACTTCTTCGCCTTCTTGCGTGAGTTTGTTGGCTCGGAGGGGCGCTTGCGCTTCTTAGAGGGGTCATAGACGGTCTCGCCATCTTCCAACTGATCCTTTAACTTGTCCCAAACATCGATCCCAGTATCTGCGTCATCGATCAGTTTAGAGAACACGGTTTTTGATTTGTTTAAGTCCTTGATTTTCTGCTTGAGAGTTCTCTGCTTCTTCTCAATCTCATCAATCTTTTTCCAATCTTCGCTCATCTGCTCCTCTAAGCCAAGACTGTCAGATGCCTCGATGATTGAGATATCGTCCGTCTTGGAGCAAATGAATGTGATTCTCGAGTATGTCCCGTCAAACTTCAGTTGGCGCTTGAATGATTCCCCCAGAAGTGACTTTGCAGCCTTATCGTCGACTGCGCGGTTGATCGGAGCAACAATGAACAAACCCGTGCACTGTTTGATGTACCCTTGAGCAACAGCAGCTCTCGCTGCATTCGAGTCGTGCACTCCGGGGAGATCAACAATGACTGCGCCTGTGCTGAGAGCATCGGCTTTCGTATAGATCCGAACGACTTTGATCAGTGGCCAAAACTCCATCTGCTTCTTCTCGCCTTTCTTTTTCTCGCCCTCGGTCGACTTCTCCTTGGAATCTACATAGCTCTGAAGTGCCTTGTAAAAGAACTCTGGCTTGGGCTTCTCGATCTTCTTGGTAGTACCCAAGACTTTACGCACTTCTGGCTCACTCAGGAGCTTCTCAACGCTGCTGTTCGCTAGGTCGTCCTTCGTACACGAAGGGTAAACCGCTTTAATCTTAGCGTATGCTACACCAGCCTCACTTTCGGGATTGGTGCAATCGCGGGAGACCTGACCGCTACCATCAATCAAATCTTTCAGGGAGATTCTCAAGTCTTTCTCCCAGTCAGATGCCTGGATAAACTCAATGTCTGCGCGGTACAAAGCATTCGGATCGTTGGAGCGGTTGTACGACATTTCCGTCACGACAGCCGTGCATGCTCGCATGCAGTTTGTAGGTACAAGGCGTTCTTCCTCGAGCATGGCGTTGATAACCGAGCTCTTTCCTGCTCCGGTGTTTCCTACAACACCAATAATAGTTGGCGTATCAACATTTTGCTTGAGCAAATTATCAAGTTGCATGACCCAATGTTGAGCATCTTTGTTTACACCCACAAACTCTTGCATGGGCATTTTCAAGTCTTCAAGGAAATTCTTGCAAGTCGCAACTTCTGCCTCAAGCTCTTCAGGGGTCCCATCAGAAATGATTTTTAGAATACGCTCGTTCTGAAGGGGTTTCTTTGGGGTATGAACGGGTGTAGGTAGGCCATTTTCGTTGAGTGGCTCGTCTCGAAGGACTGGTTCTGTCTTGTAGTCACGCTTGACGTTAACATTGCTGCTCGAAGGCGCAGCTGCAAGATGGGCACGGTGCCGGTAATTTGGTGTATTGGCTACTGCAATGGAAGTCAGCATATGTATATAAGATCACTGCGGATTGATGGCCACGTACCGTTTTGGGAGAATGGCACCTGATCACTGCAAACCTGATCATCCTTGTACTCGTCCTTGATAACTGCAGCAGTAGCTACAATCTCCGAGCCTGCTAAACCACTCTCCGTCTTCACCTTCCTATCCGGCAATCCTGCGAAACCACCGATGTTGGCGGGTATCTGTGAATTCTTAGGTTGAAGAGGAACTCGCGAGAGCGGAGAATTCGAGAGGGTAGGTTGCGCATTGCGATCGTGAGATGTGAACACAATAATGTTATTGTTCATATCTGAATGGTGGAGATTTCAGCAGTTGTCATAATGGGGGTATTTCAGCAAGGCGAGGACGCGTGTCACCAGAGATCCCGAGACATTCAAGATAGGATAGTATAGTTTCTCAAGATACGCACAGTTCAAGTTCTTCATCTGCGTAGACTCCTCGATGACTTCACCCGCAAGCCTCAGCGTAATATCCGCGACCCCAATCCGCTTCTCATATGCCGACCTGATTTTCGCGATGCTGTGTTTGCCCTTCACCTTGAACCTTCAAGTCAAAAACAGACAAGCAGAAGTCAGCCCCTCGCCATGGTATCGAGCATTGGAAAAGACTACCCCGAGTGGCCCTCACCAAGCAAAGAAGCAAAAGAACACAAGCGCAGGATGCAAAAAGAGCATACCAGTAGAAGTCTTCCGGCAAACAGTCGACACTCTTCTCATGGTGCAGCACCCCAATGGCGAAGCTCCCATCCGAAACGTCTAGCCTAAGATCCTCGCGCGGCGCGGTAGCAAGGCGGTGGAGGGCCTTGTGTCCCTCGTTGTCGAAGGGGTTCGCATCCATGGTCTTCCGGCAAAGCGACTTGCTCCTTCCTGTTGCCGGGTTTGCGACGAGAGCAACCGAGTACAAGCAAAGCGATATGAAGTGAAATGTAACGTCGAATCAATAGAATTGTCCCTCGGGATAAGGCTGAACGAGGGGCACTGGTAAGACTAGGCGAAGTGGTTGTGCGATCCCGATTTGTCGACGATGGGAGCGCGTCGAGCCGTGATGGCCGGCGCGTGGGTAGTTGATTGGAAAAACACTGGGTCACGTGAATTGGCTCTGTGCGGGGGCTCTGGTTTAAGTAGGGTGGCTGCTTTTGCAAAATCATGCCTACGGAGTGCTGCTGTAGCCCGAATAAGCGAGACTTCCAAACGAGGCAGATCTGAGGAGCCGAGTCAAGTCAAGCTAATAGAAGGACTTGACGTCGCAACTTTAAGGGCCCTTCCCTAAATTGGGCGAAACAATTATATCCCGCGTGGTTAAAATAATTGAATATGGATTGCATATGGGGGTACTTATTGTTTAACGGTTGTGAGTTGTAGTTATTATTATAGTTGTTATCATAATTGTTATTATAGTTGTTATTGTAGTTGTTGTAATTAAAAAGGTGGAAAGGAAATAAAAGAAAAGCGAAGAGTACTAGTAAAAAAAATTAAGGCTTAATCACGTATCGCTTAAAATTGTATCATAGATATAATTCAAAGGTAAATAAGCAGGTCACGTGTTTAAATCACGTATTTCATAACTTGAAACGTGCTATAGATACAATGCAAAGGTTGAATAGAAGAGTCACGTAGCTAAAATGATTGAATATGCATTGCATATCGGGGTACCGATAATAATAGAAAGTTAAAAGTTTAGATTTGAAATTTTACGCGAACTATAGATGAGCTCTAGCCTCCTCTTGGCTTTGGTACTTCCACCTCTTCTGCAATACCGCACTTGAAAGAAGAGATGGCATCGTTGAGATAGGTATATTCGCTCACATGCAGGCCTGGCATTTTACCGGTGTGACCAAGCCTCGCGCCCAGGCAAGAGAGGTCCCTATCCTCGCTTGTCAGTTCGTTTTTTTTTTCAATTTCGGATGTTTCTTTTTGATAGAGGATGGGGGGATCTCACTCGTAAAAGTAGCACACCTTGTCGTAGGTATCGAGAGACGTGATTGTATCGATGAAATCGGTTCGGACATCCACTTTTCACTATGATTAGCATTCGTTTTTTTTTGGGGGGGGGGGGGGGTTTCTCTCTTTTTTAAAAAGAGAATAAAAAATTGATTAAGATTAAGATTAAGATTAGGGAGAGAAGAGAAAGAGCAAGAGAAGACTCACCGCACTTGAGGTAGTCGGCAGGAGGCTCGTAGCAGTCAACGAACGCGGGATCTTTGCATAGTTTGATCAAAGGATTTCGTGCTACTTCTGCCATAACAGCGGCAGGAGAAAGCATAAGAGTAAGTGTGACGGCGAAGGCGTTGAATAAAATCATCTTGGCAAGAGCAATAGAAAATGAACTTGGTTGAAAAAGGTTGTTGGAATGATAGCGAGTCGGAAGGGGATATCTGAGAGGAATAATAGCGAGTCGGAAGGGATATCTGAGAGGATTTATACTTTGTTTGCAAGAGAAGAGCCCAAACGATCTTTCGCTCCTCGGTCGTCCGTAAATTATTATTGGTATCAATTCTCGTTCTTGCTCGTAAATTATTATTAGTACCAACGGTGCAGGCCTACTTAAGGGTTGCAGTTTGAGGGCATTGTGCTTGGAAGTACCTGAAAAGCCTAAATATCCACTTTGAATTCCTTGATGGTATACCCTACCTACCATTAGATTCGGGTGTAACGATGAATGACAAGCGGAGGTTGGTGGTCACGCATACGTAGTAGTAGTAATGTTACTATGTTACAACTTTCATTCTATGATCTGGTATTCCGTCACAACACCCGCGCCTTCACGTCACATCGGAGCAGGGGAGAAATCGGAATAGTACTACACATGCTGTATGTTGTAATTGCGGATGGATGCCCATCTCGAATTTCGACCAAGGCCGGAAGACACGGTTGGCCATTGGGCCCGGTTACACATGTATGCCGCTACTCATCTATGCGAAACATATGAGAAACTACTACAACGTCACAGGCGTAATTGTTACCCCCTGAGGATACGGACTCCCCTCTTACTACGTAAATAGATATAATACTGGGTCTTTTATGGGCCGATTCCAGGGGGTATCAGCAGGCGGTTACACCTAGGAGTAACAGTGGAGTGAAATACGGGTTTCAAGCCACTTGAAATAAAGGCTACTTATAACCCAACTTCACTTACCGTATCTTCCGTCTTGATTAGAATCTTTCTTTTCGCTTCAAATCCTTATATATTTCACCCGTTCTCAATCTATTAATAATCTATTAATAGCTATAATAGAGATTAAATTCACCGATTCCCTTCTCAAAACAGCTTCTCTCCGACCTTTGCTCCTTAACCACCGAAAAAAAAANNNAAAAAAACGAACGTACACGCCCGAAAAGAAACAACTCTACTCAAAACAGATATTTAACATCAAATCTGTTTATACCGCCCCATCGACCTCTGTCAAGAGACACCGAGAAATCAAGCCGGAGGCTCAAAACGCGATTCCCAATTAGCGACATCGAATCTGCATACCTACCAATCGTAGTAAAAGCGTTGGTAAGCTGTAATCGACGCTCGAGGAGGGCTACCTACGTAACTCCATGCTGTACCGGTACCGGTATTAGTCAGGTAGTAGAATCTCAACCGATTAATATTTCCTTTCTTCCAATTGGCTTAAAAACCTTTCCGTATACTCCACTATCACGCCTAGCTATAACCTCCCTGCTATACCCCCCCCCCCCCCCCCCCCTGGAATAGGCCCACAAAATCGCGGAGGTCGAAGTAGACTCTGATCATTCGGAGAAGCGTCCTATTGGATCGGGAATATACGTAGCAAAAGTGTATCGAATGGATTCGGATTCTAATCGAGGGGCTTTTTTCAAACGCTGCTTTTCCTACCTCTTCTTTCAGTTTCGATATGCCAACTACTTAAGAGGAATAGCCTGAAGCTCATCAACACTATCCCCGATTGAGAAGAGTTGTTCAGGAAGCGAGGGATTCGATCGAATAGGGTAGAGTTGTTGCTTTACTCAGAACCACGAGACACCGTTGTTTACTCTGTAGAGGTAATCGCGGCGGAGGGGTGGTAAACAGCCTGGTAGAATAAAAGCTTGTAAAAACAGCGAGAACCTACCCTCAGGCTGGAACACTTGGGCCTGTACTGTGGTAGGTGACATGATACAATTATGGTATGCGAAATATCGCTTTTTCGCTCGCTCGGAGCCTCTCGCTTTTCCCCAACATAGACTGACTGCCCCAGCCAATACTACATTCCCCGTTTGATATCACAGAATCCAGCATGCCCCCGCCCTCCCTATAAACGTAAAGCCGTTCTCCATCGCCATGCAAGGAACAAAGGAAAGAGGAACAGAACTGTGGTAGCAGAAAAGTAGTTCGCAAAAGAGAAGTCGGATGGTATGAATCTGTAGGATTTTATGCTTCGCGCGCGTCCGTTACTCGTCATCGTTATTCGTTTAAGAAACATCTGCTGCTGGCTGTCACGTCTTGCTTTCGTTCTTCTATCCGGCCGCCTTCAAGACGTCTGTCAATCGTCGTTCGTCCGGTTCAAGGGAAGGCTCAATCCTTGCGTGAATCGTACCTGTGCGCACTGGCGACTGGCCACCATCCGATCTGGGTGTAGCTGTCAATCATATCCTGCAATAGCTCCTTGGTAATCTTGGGCTTCTCGTACGAGAAGCCAAGGAGTTTCTCCAACCTGCTGCCGTCCATACTCAGATCCGTGTCCTTCAATAGCTCTTTCTCCATGAAGGGCGTCAAAGGTCCCGGTCGCGTGATACCCGCATCATGGAGGAGGTCGGCCCAAGGCTGAAGCACCTCGTCGTTCACGTCGTCGACGACACTGTCCATGTGCAGCCTCGCGAACGTGCTGATTAGCTGGCCCTGGAAGCCGGTCTCGATGCCGAATAGCTCGTGGATAATCTCAGACATGGTGCCTTGGCTCGTACGTCCCTTGTCGACCATGTTGAAGGTGGGGATCTTGCCCATGGACTTGGCGTCCCAGCCGGGTTGTTTGTCGACTGCGTACCACTCGGCGATGGCCCAAAGACCGCGGGTTACATCGTCGATGTGGACGGTATTTACCCGCAGATCTTTCGTCCAGAGCCATTTCATTTCCGATTGGAGATACTGGTATACGCGGGCCATTGCCAGGGCAGTTGCGACAAATTGGGAGGCATAATTGCCGTAGACGTGGGCAAGGCGGACAATAATGAGGTTGAGGCTGTAGAAGATTAGATCCAGCTCTCGCGCCACACTGGACCGGGTCCAATGTCCAAAGCGTTTTAGACATGGGACCTGTCACCAAGTCGGCGGGCATATTGATGAGTGACGTACCCTTCCATTTTCGAAAGCTGTTCTTCGGCCTGCAGCTTGAACACGGCGATCTTGCTCCAGGGCTTCAGTTTGTCACCCTCCTTGCTCGGTTGCGAATCAGGCTTGTACACCATACCAGTGCTCAGCTCGACAAATGCCTTCACTCCCCGCTTCGCGGCCTCCTTCCCCACGGCCACGCTCAAAGCGAGCGAGCGCACCTTGTAGACTTCATCCTCCTGCGAATATTTGGTCTCGCCACCGCAGTTGAAGACGTAGTCCCATTGCTTGCCATTGGATCGGTCGAAGATACGGGGGAGGGATTCTTTCACGGGGCGCCATGTTAGCATACCATTGTCCATCGGCGCAAAGCGCAAAGCGCAATGCGCAAGAGCAATGCGCAAGAGCAATGCGCAAGAGCAATGCGCAAGAGCAATGCGAAAGAGCAATGCGAAAGGAGGGGGGGGGGGGGGGGGCGGGGGAATACATACGCTCTCTACTCGCATCTGCCTGCATGAACTTGTCCTTCGAACATGCTTCCGCAAACTCTGGTGCCAGCCATGCCAGCTGGGGAAGCACCTTATCTACGATCCGGACCTCGGATGCCAAATTGTTGTTGTGAATGTAGAGCGCAAGAAAGCGTCCAATGTAGCCCAAGCCACCAATGATGAGAACCGCGGGTTTCTCAGCCATTGCGACTGTTGCAGCAGACTTGAAGGTGTCCTGTGTGGTCAGTCGGCAACACTTTCGTGTCGCGTTCTCGTTCCGAGCGGTCACAGAGAGCTATGGAAGGTATACACGAGTAAGGAAAACACTGGACAAGGCGACGGGGTCCAGGAGGGTGCCAGGAAGAGGAGGCTGAGTGTGATAGAGTGGGAGACGACTCAGTAGTAATAAGTAGGGCTGTAGGGTCGTAAGTAAGCAATTGCGGAGACAGGTGCATGAAGATGACCAGGGACGGAGACGTACAGAACAGAACAGAGCAGGGCCGGGCCGGGCGAGCAGAAAGGAAGAACAGAACAGAACAGAACAGCGAGCCGACCAGAGAGCGACCAGAGAGCGACCAGAGAGCCGGCCAGTCCTACAACTGGGTACCCGGATTCAATCACAGCAAGAGGTGGTGCGGTGTGGCATCGCGGGGGATTCCGTACGACCGGACAGGATCTCTCCATCAGTCAGTGATTCTAGGTAGCTACCGGTACCGGTACCTACCGTACCTAGTCGAAGGGCCGTGAGACGAGAGTCGATGGATCAGAGCTGCACGGAGCCGTGCCGTCCCGTCCGTCTGCGTCTGCATCTGCGTCTGCGGCGCCCGTTCGTTCATCTCATCTCATCCTTATCATTTCATCGTCCTCATCTCCGGACGGATAGGGGGGGGACGGGGACGGGGACGGGGACGGGGACGGGGACAAGGGTGGCATTGGCCAAGGGGAGGGGCGGAGGGGCGGAGGGGCGGAGGGCCCGCTGAAAGCCCGCTGAAAGCCCGCTGAAAGCCCGCTGAAGGCCCGCTGAGCGCCCGCGGAGGATGGCTTCTGGAATTCTTCTAGTGCGGCCAGTCCCGGCTGATCGTAGCCCTAGTCCTCTTCCGTAATACGACCCGGTCACCTTTGGCTGCGTTTGGACTGCAACATAGATCTTCTACGTACTACCTACGTGGGAATGGAAAGGTTCATTGTACAATAGACTATTGTTCCTGAATATCAGACCGACGGAGGGAACAAAACGTGGCAGTCCATGGACTTTCGAAACCCAATCAATCATATTTGTCTTGTCATCGCGTAGGAGCCGCAATCGCTAGCTTCGAATTTACTACAAAGTTGTACTACGTACTACGTCCTACTAGTAGTACCTACGTAGTATATCGTATCGTTCTCTGTTCTGAATACTATTGTTAATAGCCCAAGTAATAATGGAGCCCCTGACCCTGACTGGTACTCCGATCCAGGCTACGATGAGCTGCGGCTGCTGCCATCCCCCACGAAACTTCTAAGTTCTTTGTCTCGTGAAACAAATAAGCAAACAAATAAGCAAACAGACCAACAAAAAACTAACGAGCAAACTAAGTCTCCTCTCCCACTCAACCTGACACACCATCATATTTCGGCCAAGGATGAACTGGGGAGAAATCGATTCATCTACAGTAGGTAACACTATGAACTGCTGCTCATTTCGGCTCGAGCAAGATGGGTTGTTCCATTGCATGAACCGTCGAGAGCCCACTTCCGGCATGATGCAGGTGCAGGTGCCGGTCCCGGTCCCGGTCCCGGTCCCGGTGCAGGTGCAGGTGCAGGTCCCGGTCTCATGCAAGTCATCCTTCTGCGGGTGCTGGCAGGGTTTGTTGGCTGTTTCCCTTCTGAAGAGACATCCGTACAGACATACCTACCTACCATTACCGAAGTACAACACTACCTACCCAGTACTCATACGCATCTTAATCCGTGTACATCGGTATATGTGTAGTAGTATATTTATCCACTTCACATACCTGTTGCATCTGTTCTTGCCATTCTGGTTTCACTGTTCGTCTCATCAGCCTGATCGGTGCTTGGTACTGCAAGGTTCCATATTGGTTATACTCCTGAAACTTGAAATTTCGTTGAGCTTCGCGCCGCCGTGCTACTTCAGTACGTATCCTGCTCATGCGGACTCCCCCCCCCCATGGACTCAAGTCAGGTGGGTGTATCGAAGATGCGGTGTAGTTCCCCTGTAGAGGGAGTAGTAGTCCGGTAGCTCGAAGCTCGAGATGTGGAAGTTTTCATGAGGCTACCGGTATATTGGTATAGCCTCTCCGAAGCTACCCTTCGCGGACCTGGAGATGAAAGTAATGCACCTACCTATCTTCATCGACAGTGAAGAGCCCAGCTTCGTGAACTTCATAGTCGAGAACCCATGCGAACTCGTCACAATCGCTTCTCCGTCGTCGGCACCTCGTACCGACGCACCAGAACCTCACATTCTTCAATATCGACCAACATAACAATCCTGGTCTCCATAAAAAAGTTGACGAGTATGGCCTAATGCGCATACAATGCTCTTTCCCGTGGGCTGAATTGGGATGTAAGTGGATGGTAAAATCAGTTCCATATGCCGACTACAAACAAAATCAGTTCGCCTGGTTGTTCTACGCCGCCTTCGAACTCCACCGAAGCAGTTGATCTTTTTACCTTTTTTTTCTTCTTTTTTTTTCTATTATCATCATTATGGAATTTTGGATCTCGCAATTCTTGGTGAAGTGTCGTTTGTATTGGGGCGATTCCGCGTTGTGATTGCCGACCGAGTCGATGTCCAGAAACGATTATGGTAATTTGAATACCACCTACGCACCTACGCATACATTGCTCATACAGGGCGCAAGTCATCTCTCTCATATCAGGCCTGCTCGTGAGAGCGATCGCGGTCGTGACTTCCTCCTCCGATTGGAGACTACGGTCGCTCCTTCCCTTCTTGATTGTGGCGCTTTGTGGTCGCTTAGCCTCGTACCTCATCTCATCTATAAATCCTCCTCTGACATTATACAACACCTTTTCATGTGATCTTCGTCGATAGAAGTGAACCAATCGTCATCACCCTCAGTCTCAACCGCACCCCAACACTTGCTTTACTTCGGGAATTCGCCGCGGATTCGTCACCGGCTGCCACAACATCTTCTTCGGCCCTCACCTTCCAAGAGAAAAAAAGGGAAAAAAGGGAAAAAAGGAAAAAAAGGAAAAACAAAAGAAAAATAAAAGAAGAAAAAACCACACTAGTCAAAGCTGCGAGCGCCATTTCAAGATGGCTCCTGATCCCCCGAAACACCCGCAAGTCTTTAGTACGTCGTCGGCCGACCCTGCGTTCTTTTTCCGATGAGATATGTGGGAGAAACTTAACTGATCAGTGTCTTTGGCGTGTACAGGAACTGTTGCTGAGAGAATCAAGGTAATTCAGCTCATTGAAAAATACGTTCAGAGTGAGCCAAAGATGGACCTCTATGCGCTGGTGCCGGAGGCAACGAGGAGAATTCCTCCGAAGTGGACAAGGATGCTCGATGGGAAATCAAATTACTATTCCTATGGTAACCGGTGCAACGTGCTAGAAATCAACCCCAACACACCCCTCCAGGATTCCAAACTGTCAAAATACGTCGGGGACGTCGCTCCAAGATGGGTCGAGGCGAAATACCTCTGGAAGTTCTTCGAGCTTGCCACCTTCTACCACGGAGGAATAGACGAGGAGTACATCTGGAAGGCGCTACCTGGTATCCTCCAGGGGCAACGAGAGAATGATGAGGCGCAAAAGATAGTCCGACATCTAGCGCGTCTTGATAATCATATGTACACCCGAATGATCCGCGACTCGATCAAGCCAATTACCTTGTAAGTGAATCTTCGGTGACCATGCAACGTCTGCTGATGTAGCCAAGACATTTTCTTCGGAACGGACTCTGGGCCACCTTCGATAACGAGGGCCGACTTCCACCATTCTTCGAGCAGGAAGACAGACTCCGCTACTTCCGTTATTGTCTATACCAAGAGCCGTGGATGGTAGCCTGGTGGCTGATGAAATGCGTTCCGAACATGCTGAGACTCTCTTTCCTGTACCAAGCCGAAGAGATCACCACCAACCCCTTCCTGAAGAACTTGCAATCTTGTCTCCTCAAGGTCTTCGAGGATCGCTTCCTCTTGCTAGTCGATGCGACCTACCTGTACCAAATCGACCAGGAAATAACGAAGGAAAAGCCGAAATGGGACGAGGGCAAGAAAGAGGTATGTTAGCTAAGATGACTGCCGAGCAACATCGCCATCCTAGGTTTCGCGTACTCAACCAGACTAATGACGGTGCAGATTCAACAGATCATGAAGAGCTTGTCCACCCACCCTACATTGTCTAAGATCACCCCGGATTTACTCGACCTGCCCATCCATTCCGACTTGCACTTGCATGGCAGCACGTCTTGGCGCTGATTCAAGCCACCAAAGGAGCCCTGAGAATACCACGAGGCGGAAGGAGGAGAAGAGACTTGGAGGTAAGGCAGGCTGGATCGGTCGTCCAGCTGGTCGGCCAGTTGCCCAGATGGTTGGACAGTTTTCTGGCTCTCTTGCTCGCTTCACATTTGCTGCACATTTCGCACCCTTCTGCTGACAGGGTGGCTCATTTCCGTCACGTCTTTACTTCCAAGTTTCCCGTTTTTACTTCTCTTTTTCCGATGCCTTTTACAGCACTTGCGTTTGCTAGGATTTTCCAAGCTACGAGATGTTGACCTTGGTTGGGACGTGCGTTATCCAGGCGAAGGAACGCCAGTATTCCTTGTAGAACAGAAGCCAAATCAAAAACGTTCCGTTCAAAAGATAGGTGCTGCGCCGTGTATCTCGAGCGGAGGCATATTTCTTGCATACTTTTTGCATACTTCAAGGGCCCGCCTGGCCCATCTTTTCCTGCTTTGGAGGTAGGTCGGCGACTGAGTGATTGAATGACTGAATGACGGAATGACTGAATGACTGACTGGTTGACTGCACATTCTGCCTATTCGTGAGTAAACAATCTGCCGTTGCGCACGTCGCATGGCATGGAGCTTTGGCGTTTTCGCGGGCCATCATAGTTGTACCTGACAGAGGTACAGTTGGGTAGGTACCGGTACTGTTTGATCACCTTGTTCAAAGCAAAGGGGATGCGGAGCTTAAACTTGACTTGATCAGGGGGTATTTCATGGAACGAAGAGAAAGGAATACGGACGGAAAAGTATACTATAAAAAGAAACGAAAAAAGCTAGTTGTACTTAAGGTACTCAATAGTGTGAGATCGGATCTCTCGTGTACACAGGATACATCCAGATTGAGTACTACAGAGTACCGAGTATGCGCACGTACGGAATCTACGGTGGGCAGCTTCTTGGCACCGACACCGTTTCTGGCCTGATGGCCTTGGCTTGGCGTGTCGTCTCCCTTTCGAGAAAGGATCCAAAAGTATCTTTCTCCCAATCTCCCCATCATTCCTCTATTGACGTTGTCGCCCCCAGCTGCAGCGGTCGCAACGATAATAATATCGCGACGACGACGACAACAACAACAACAATAACAACAACAACATCATCATCATCGACCGCGATCGCGACAATACAATCCCTCCTCACCTCCAAGCACAATTCGCCTCTGGCTCAGTGCAGTGCGGCAGCGCATGCATGGGTCTGCCTTGCTTCACCCGTTGAAACACCAACGCTCCTTACCTATTATTACCACCGCCTTCGTATCTTCTATTTTCACCACCTCTCCGTACTCTACCACCCGCCAGCCAACACCCGGGCCTCTGCGCCCCCCCGTTTGATTTCCTTAGTTAATTATTTACCTATTCACACAGTCATTCTCGACCTCACGCTTCGCCAACAACGGCTTCTAATCGCCACTCTCTTGTTCGTCACGACTAGCCAGCCGTCCACCGTTTCGCGAGCATCTGGATACGATCCTTTCCTTCACACAGTACATACAGCCAGTTCTCTGTCACGGCCGGATTGCACTTCCGTCCCATCACGCTCTCTACCTACAACGCTGCACCCGCAATCGTCAGGGACTCATCCTTGAACAGCCCGCATTATTTCCTTTTGACAACAAATTCATGACGACGAACGTCAACGATCCACACAGCACCCATAATCTATCCGAGGACGCCTAGAGCAGCGTGGCAATCGCAGAGTCGGGGAAGGAAGACAATACCTAGACCACTCGTGGTTCCCAATCACCGGATGAAGCAGACACGCCCCAACTTCATCGATACCCGATCGCTATCACATGGACCTTTGGGAGCTACCATGCCGTCCCCGTCGCTGAGGGGCATGCCATCCCCGAGGCTGCACATAGCAGGAGATGTACCTCCCGAATTTTCACCTCTCGATGCCTTCGCCGCACAGAGTCGACAGCTGGCGCGCCAGCTGGAGAAGGAGAGCGTGGGAGGGAAACGGGTCAGCCGGCTGCCACCTCTTACGATCGCAAAGTCCTTGAGCCAACCACGACCTGGATACTTTCGCTCGGTATCTGCAGAGACGCCCTTGTCGCCGACGAGCCCTGGGTCAGCTCTGAGCCCCGGTTCAGCTGTGAGGGCGGAGGTGGAGACGCCCGGATTTCGGCCCAAGTCTGTATACCCGGCACTGTGCGGTGAGGTGCCATATGATGTGACATTCCCGATGCCTTCGCCGCGTCCACTGAGCTCACTGGAAGAAGAAGAGTTTCGAGGGAGGAGGCCACCAAGCGCGGCAGATGTTACGGAAGGTTTTGGTGCCAGGAGAGAATCATCGCCTAGCACGCTGGAGAGGGATGCGCTACCATTACGAAGGGCAAATTCCCCAAGTCTTACGAGACCCAGGCCCAGCGCGGAGTCTATGCGCCAGCGCAATTTGCAACATTGGAGAGGTCAGGATGCGTCGTCGTTGGGAGTCAGTGGCTATGATTCTCGTGCCTTGGCTCCACCGAGATCACCGTTTGGCCCACGCGCCCCGAGCCCTAAGTTGACATCGAATGACAGCTCAGATGAAGACTTTCACAACCAGAGTTTTCCTATGAGCATGTCACCACGTAGGAAGGCTTCTAACGGAAGCGTATACTCGAACTCCCCCACATCACCCATCGCCAATGTAACGAGATCAGCATCGAATTCTTCCGAACTGTCCATCGGCGGAACACGACTACCACGACCTGCATTCAACTTCTCTAGACCACTGAGCCGGGGGAGTTTGAACAGCCTTCCAGTTGAAGCACCTTCGCGGCAAGCCTCTTCGGATAGTCAACCATCATTCATTCTTGCAGATGATACTGCACATACCCCGGTGAGCATGCACAGCGAAGGCTTTCCGGATCACCACAATGAGAACTCGCCAGCACCATCCTACGTGTACTCGAAATTCTCGCTACCGAGGGGCAAGGTGCTTCAGAGGAACTCGCTAATTTTCCAGGAGGGACAGCCACCGGCACGGATCCCTGGGGACAACCAGCAACTCCCATTCGGGAACGTACATGCGATCAATGGTCAAGCGCCACCTTCACCGCCCTCTAGACCCTCGACCTCCTCACTTAGACCTTCGCTTGACCGTGGCATGCGCTCCTATGATACACGACCGTCCCTCGATCCCGGCAGACCAAAATGCGATCGAAGTAATACTTTCGATTGTGGCAGACCTGTGACCGAGGCAAGGAACAAGTCACCTGATTCCCGGAGGACCTACGAAGAACCGCCAACCTTGAGACCACGCCCCCAGTCTTCCTCTGGAGGCTCGACTCCCAAGGCCAAATCTCACCAGTCAATACCCCCAGCATCAGATTGCTCAGCTGACGAGCATGTAACCAAAGCAATCGAATACCATGAAGCTGGAGCACTCAACAAATCAACTTACCATCTCCGTCTCGCAGCGAAGCAGAGTCACCCTACGGGTATGCTACTCTACGCTCTAGCCTGCAGACACGGCTGGGGCATGCGACCAAACCAAAAAGAAGGCGTGGCATGGCTACGGCGCGCTGCCGATTTCGCGAGCCTGGAAGTCGCAGACGGCGAGGACCATGTGAAGGATGGCAAAACAGTCGACATGATTGAGCAGCGCACACGGAAAGCGCAGTTCGCGCTCAGCATCTACGAGTTGGGCGTAAGCCACATGAACGGGTGGGGCATCGACCAAGACAAGGCGCTCGCGCTGCGGTGTTTCGAAATTGCAGGCGCCTGGGGAGACGCGGATGCGTTGGCCGAGGCGGGTTTCTGCTATGCACAGGGGATGGGGTGTAAGAAGGATTTGAAGAAGAGCGCGAGGTTTTATCGACAGGCAGAGGCGAAGGGGATTAGTATGGTCGGGAATTCTTGGTAAGTCCTGATCATGTCTATTTGGGAGCCTCACCTTACACATCAACAGGATTTATAAGCCTAAATATAACGACGAGGCCGACGCATCGGATAGGCAAGGCCGCTCCCATATCGTCCCTAAGGAAAAAGACAAGAAAGTACGCAATAAGTCGCGCACGAGAATGTTTGCACGGAAGCCTTGACGCTGGGATCCAACATGCGGAAATTTAATGGCTGTCACGGTATACAAAAAGTGTAACGCGCAGGCGGGCAGGGTAGGGCGAACTAGGCGTTTTCGAAAGGTTACTTACTTACTCTTCTTGTAAATGATTGCAACTTTTACTATGGAAAGACAGGCATGGGGCTCTTCGATTCATTTCTTCTTTCTTGGGGCAACTGGGGACCAATAAATAGGGTGCATATCTCTCGGTGGGTTTTCTTTTGCGCTGCCGCTTGCCGTTTCTCGAGCAGGGCCTTGTCCTAGTGGTTGCCTGTGCTGCAGTTTGTACCTAGATGTAGTGGTCGTTGTAGATTTGTGGATCTTGGATGGTGGATGGTGGATGGTGGATGGTGGATGGTGGAGGGAGGAGAGAGGAGGGAGGAGAGAGGAGAGAGGAGAGAGGAGAGAGGAGCTCGGTAGCTAGCTTATATATAGCTAGCTGTAGTAGCTACTACGGCTGGAGAACCCTCCAATTCTGTTTAACCATCATCATCGTCATCATCATCATCATCATCATCGTCATCATCATCATCATCGTCATCATCTTCTTCTTCATCTTCATCATCTCCTTCGGCTAGCTTCGTAACGCAACGCAACGTAATGTAACGCAACGCATCCATCTCCTCAGCCTATCCAGGTAGGCACAGTACTTACATCGAGTCGGTACCGTCGTCCCCTTCCCTTTCCTCTCTGCTCCTCTCTTCTCTTCTCTTTTCTTTTCTTCTCTTCTCTTCTCTTCTAGTCGGAAAATTATACATGTGCCCGCCCAGCTCTGGGGGTGCCTTGTGTCGCCTGTTGGCCGGGGGTTAGGTGGCTTTTTTTGCTTCCTTCGTCTTGTTGGTCCTGCTGTGTATATGTGTATGTCGGACTTGTTGAGGATGTTGGGATTTCCGCGGACGGTACCATGGTGATTTTTCGTATAAATATATATATATATATATATATATATGGGTCGTTCGGGTTGCTGACTGTCGATGCTCACGTTGGGAATGAAAGGGGCCGTCTGTGCGGACAAGAGACACGCTCTTCGTTTTCTTCACTGGTCTATGTATGTGCTGCGAGTGCATTTATTTCTCAAGCAAATCCATATCTCTCCCCTCTCCCCTCCTCTCTCCTCCTCTCTCCTTCCCAACCCCCTTTCCTCTGCCGCTGCCTCTACCGCTTCATCGAGTCAATGACCTCCCTATGCGCACTCTCTTCCCTCCCCTTCTCGCTCAGGGTGCCCAGACTCCGCAGGTCGCCGACGACGTCCTTCGCCTTGCCAAAGTAGACCTCCTGCAGCAGGTTCCGCATCTTGAGCTCCATATCCTCGACCAGCTTCCCGATGTTGGCAATGTGCGAGACGTCGTCGTCGACGGGCAGCGTCGACTCGATCTGCCGCGTCATGTTGCCCGAGAGGTCCATGTCGCCGAGCTCCGCCGTGGAGGTGGACAGGGACAGGATCACTGTCGACGTGAGCTTGTAGTGCGCGGTGCGGGCGCGGTCCACGGCTTCGAAGACGTGGATGCTATCCCAGGAGCCTTCGGATTTGGAGGAGGGCGCGGCGACTTTGGAAGGAGGGGGGTTTGGTTGTCAGCTTTTGATCTCTGCTCGTCCCACAACGGTCTCCTGCCCATAGACAGACATGTTGCAAGTTTATATATATATATATATATATAGGCAATACGCATATACATATACATATTCATGGAGGCATTTTTCTTTTGGAAGAGAGAGAGAGAGAGAGAGTTGGAAACATCTTTCTTTCTTTCTTCTTTTTTTTTTCGAAAAGAGAAGAGTGATGGATGGAAAAAAACCGGAAACCAACTTACCTTTTTTCAACAGCACCACGCCCGCAAAGCCATCGTCCAGATTCCACAGGTACACGCTACTCACGCCGCCCTCATAGTACAGCTCCCGGTACACATCGAAGGCCTCGTTGGCCCGCACCTCCATGGCCCGCACCCGCTCGCTCGGCACGGCGCCCTCGCCCGCGCCGTCATTGTTACCCTCGCTGTCGACGCCGCCGAGGCCCGAGCCGCCCAGAGGAGACTCGAACTCGCCGGACCACGGCGAGCGGTACGAGTCGCCGTCGCGGTTGTAGTCGCAGAGCAGGTAGTCCCGGCCGGTCTTGCGGCAGCGCGCGATGGTCAGGGGCTGGTCGACGGAGGAGAGCAGATCTTCCGTTAGGGAGGGGACGAGGGAGATGAGGGAGTTGAGGTGCGTGGAAGTGTGTTTGGGGTCGAGGCGGCGGAGGAGGTCCCTGGTTGTTGGTTAGTTGTTTTTTTGGTTATTCGGTTATTCGGTTATTTGGTTATTTAAGATTTATGTTTTGCATAGAGGGAAAGGAAGGAGAGGAGACTTACAGCGCGCTGTCGAATTGGTCTATTTCTGCCATGTTTTCTTGCGGTGGGTGCTTGGAGAGGTGAGGTGGTAGTTGGAGGGCGGGTCAAGCTTGGAGGGGTTGATTTGAAGCCCCGCTAGCTTCAGCCTCGTCTGATGGGAAACGTCGCTTATGATAAGGTAACTCATAAAATTTATCTTTCAAGGAAAAGAGCTATAGATTTAGAAACTGGACGCATGAATTGGTGTGACGGAGCTCTTTTTGGATATTCAATTTTTAATATTATGGCTCTTTTCGTTATTACTAAGTTGTAACCGAGAACCCGCATGTTAACAGGCAGCGCACTGGCTAATATTCCGCGAGCTTGAAGTAAATCATTTCGTACAGGTACGTCATAGAACCACTCTGTAGTTATGCAATCGAATGCTAGCTATATTGTACCGGTATTGAGTTATCTTCCCGGAGAATTGGACGCTGTCACGTAAGGAACACCAAAATCAGAAGTCCAAATCGAAGAACACGGTTTTAATTGAATTGAGCTGTAATGCTAAAAGATACAAACTTACGAGAGCTATTAAAGAAGTAAAGTGAGTTCGCGAGCGAGCAAGAGTGGAAGGAAAATCGTCAAATTGAATTGTATCAAAGAATCAAGTTCCCGGAAGAAGCTGAAAGGCAGCCGTTAGCTATAAAACATAATTTATCTTCAGACTCGATTGCTTGGAAAAGAGGAAAAGGTGAGCATATGAATGAGACTTGTGAGTCTGGCTGACGGGCGCCCTGAGCTTTGATTGGTGTGATGACAGCTAGCTAGCAAGCTTCTTGATCTGAAGTATAGTAGGTACCGGTAGCTGAGAGTAGCTTGCTAGAGAAGAAGCCAGCTGTCAGAAAAATGAGCTAAGCTCAAAGAAGCCTAAGGCTCCTAATTAAGGCCATTCTGAAATATATGAAGTATGGCCATGAATGGCGGGTGGGGAAAATAAATGACTTCCAAGCAATCGATCGCTGCTGAGGACTCCTAGCTCTGGGATATTACTACTGTAATACTTATAGCCCAATCTGGCCAAAGGCCTTTATCCTGTACCCTACCGACTGCCTTTCGAGGCATTGAAGGTTGTAGCCCGCATCTTCCTTCGAGAGTATAAACACAAACTTTTTTTTTTGAAGTGTCCGTTTTCCTAAGGCATTCAGGCATATAAAGTAAAGGCTTCGGCTATCAACATCAGCCAAACAGCGCTAATCTCGATAGCCGAAAGACTCGGACTATATCAATACATGCATATCAATAAATCTAGATTTGTAAGATAATATGTTTATGATAAAAACTCTCAGTGTTATTAAATTCAGATAGTGCTATTGAATCACCATCCGAATTAAACTCCAAAGTAGGCTTCAAATCAAATAAAAAAAACCTACTCCGTGCTCTGCTTGTGTACCACCAGCTTTTGCTTCTGCTGCAAGCAACTCTAGATCGATAGGTAAAAGCATGGAACCACAAATCGAGCGAGTAATACTGTAAAGCAAAATCCATTTGCAAAAGCTTCAATCAAGCGCGTTCACGATCAAATAAATCGGGGCTCACATGATAGCCGAAGTGCCTGAAGGTGCCTCAGGAAAACGGACATTTCAAAGAATAGGCGCCAACGAGAGAGGCCCAGGCGATTAATTACTACAGTATTAGGGGTAGTTTGGTCCAGGCCTGGTATCGAGAATACTGGTTATGGCCAAGAGGTTTTTTAGTCAAAACTGCGTTTTGTCATGTCCCCACAATGGTATTGCAAATACCGTCATATATAGTACCTACCTTAATAGTACCTTTTCGCCACCTCTTAATTATAAAACAAGAGGTTTTGAGAAACTCAATTCGGACCTGAGTTCACACTACCTGTTCGAGGAATTCACATTAATTACTGCTGTACAACAGCGATAACCTTGACAACCAACCCTCGCGCAAATCTTATTCAATTATATTGAACCGTGAATCTCGCTCAACCTCGTAGACTCGTAAAATCTATCAAACATGTCGTTGCAATTAGAAGAACGAGAGCGAAGACGTTGAATTTTAGTCTCGTCAAGACTCTCTTTACGAACAATTGTCAGCACTAATCGCTGCCGAAATGTAAAAGACCCTCCACAAGCTCCGGTCGTGGTGCAAGGCAATAGCCCCTCTCAGCCCCCTTCAGCGCGCTGTCTTTTGAGCATTCAATCTATAGCAATAGCCGCTTACAGCGCGATGCAGCCACTGATTTCTCGAGCCTTTCTTTCCCTATCATTAACTAGCTATTAACCAAGTATTCAAAAGGAAGAGAATCCATAACTGCATTAAGTTTATACAAACCGAAAAGTAACTGAATTAGCTTGCAAAGAAAGTGCACGTAGGAAGTTAATTACTTTCCGAAATAGCACGGGCGTTTGCAGTGAGCTGCGCAACTTATCGATGTACCGGTAATCCCATAATCACTTTCGGAAGTTTCTACGATGAAGTACGTCATACAGGTACGCTACTCCGTACAATCGAACTGCCACTTTCTTGAGTTCAATTCGTACCCGTCGACTTGAGACGAGGGCAAGTTATCCTAGAGACCTGCACGAAGACTCTGTCCACAGTCCGCGATTGATAAATAGCCGAATAAACAAATCAGGAGGGTGGGATGGTGGAAAATTCTGCGACGCCTTCCGCTTTCCTCTTCGAATAAACCCAGGGGATCGCTTGTCCACAACCGGATGCAGAACCCAAGTAAACAATCAACGAGTATGAATCTCGTTTTGTCCGATCTCCACTGAGAAGCGCCGAAAATGATGTTGAGAATGAGTCCTTTGCATTGACTACTGAGGTCGCTCGCATTTCATCATCACAAATTTTCTACTGGGATTTGAAAAATTCCTTTACCCACATCGCTCGTTCATCAGTAAACAGAGCGTGATAACATCCCGGATCAACCAGGGCTAAATTGCGCAAAATAGTCGTACATTTGACAATGACGAAAGAAGTTTCGGAAAAGAAGCAGCTGTGGAAGACTGCTGTGTCGCGGCCAGCGCGTCAATACCGTATACCAGTCTCATACAGTTCGCGCGCCGCACCACACTGAGTTCCGCGTTTGCGTTTGATCTTTGAGTACCATTTGAGCAGTGCTGGAGCGAAGCAAATCTTGAGTCGCTTTAGAAATGAAAAACTCAAAGATTAAACGCAAACGCTGAATCCCGTGTGGTAGGGCGCGCGAACTGTGTGAGACTATACGGGATCCAAGGATTGACCTCGTACCTATTCCCCAGAAGGGTTGGTAAGTATTGAGTCTAGCGGCTGAGGAATCCCAAAGTCTGGGATACTGCTGTTTTCTGTTGGAAATTTGACAATCTACGGGACACGAGGGCGTCAGTATTTAGCTGATCGGGGATAGGGAGTAGGATGAGCTAGGCAATAATCTCGAAGAAGAAAATTTGGCCATGTTCTTTACGTACCTGAGTCATTGTAAATCTGTCGGTGCCACATGAGCCTGCGGAATTGGATGTGGCGTGGAAAGCATTCTACCAAACAGTCAGCTTCATTTCATCCCTCACATCTGGCCAAAGGGAATTGGGTATAAGAAAAGTCGGTGCTCACCCAAATCTCCGTCCCGTCAGGTGAGGTAAAGAAGCTGTTGTGTCCAGTACCGTAGTTCCCGTTCGCTTGGGAGAATACTGGCCCAGTTTTGTCCCATGAAGACTTCAGGAGAGGATCTCCACCGTTGTACTTCATGAGGCCAAGTGAGTAATCTGGAGTCCAGCAGTAAGACCCGGAATATGAGAGCCATATCTCGCCATTGTGATACAGTGGCTATCAGAAGTCAGTAGGCTGTCCAAATGTCTTTGCGATTAATGAGACGGTGTCTTACATGGGGAGCTTCGTTTACAGGTCTGCCGCTGATTTCCCAGGCCTCTGTGCGATGGATGAATCAGCAAATGTCACGGTGCGGATTTTCAGAAGAGGGTATGAAATATCAGCAGGAATCCTGAGATAATGAACGAAGGAAATGATCAGCTATCCTAATACGTACGCTCGGGTACCGCAATGACGTTCCACTTCTTTACGGTCCATTTCTCAGTGTCGAGCTCCGTAATCGCGATGGACTGAAGACTATTGGAATCGATGATGCTTAGAACATGGTATCTCCCCTTTCCAGGGATCTCCAGATACGTCCCATCGATACTGAAAGCAAAGTCTCCGGCCCCGCCCTGGCTGCCGATCGGAGGCACCAATTCGGCCTGGTAAGTATAAGTGCAATCATAGGGATTGGGACCAAGGCAGCCACGCAACACGCGCGTCCGACAAGTATCACAACATGGGCGGGTAGAGTCGCATGACGAGTAGAACATGTACCATGTGCCGTCGATTTGGTGCATCTCCGGGGCCCACATGTCTCCATTCTTCTTAGGGTCTGAATCTGTCCATATCGTCTTCGTCTCCCCATTGAGGAGACCAGAGAGCGTTGGCGAGCGGGTTATTGTGATTGAGTGGTAGGATGTGTAAGTTAGGAAGTAGTTGCCATCGGCATAAACCATGGAGGGATCGGGGCCAGGTTTCCTGATTGGATTGGTGAAAGCTGCCGATAGACGTAGGCAGGTCGCCAGTACTGGCAGTAGATTTTTTGATAGAAAATGCATCGTGTGGAAAGTCCCAGAGGTTGCAAAGTATGTGGTGTTCTAGAAATGCGCAAGTGAAGATGAACTGGAGGAGTAGAATGACCTCGATATACTTTTAGCTATTGTTTACTTTTCGGACTTGTTACAGATACAAACTCTTTAGCCCGGAATAATTTTCATCTGATACACTCCAATCACCAGGAATGTGCTTCGCTGGCACATTCCGATTGGCAAGCCGCAGTTATACTTCCGGTAGTGTTGGAATCACAATATCAAATGCCGAGAAAACCGGTAATATAAATAATCAATTTATTTAGGGCGCGTCTGGTGAGTCTCTCAAGTCGAGTTTCTGGGCTATTCTAGGTTTTTCACTGACCGAAAGGGCGTTAGAAAAAAGGGCCAAATACTTGAAACATTGCAATGCGTAGAACCTCGAAACCTCGAAACTCCTCTCGAAATGCTGTAGAAAATACAAAAGAGCTGTCCTTAGTTCTGGGGGCCTATGAATGTAGTACCGGTAGTATCAAGTCTCCACTTAAAGATCGACCCACGGACCACCTATGGTATAGCAAAGCTGCACCTTGTTCCAAAACCTAGATTTGTGAGAGGCGGGAAAAATAAGTCCGTAAGTCCATGATTCACTACCGGTACGTATTTGCTAGGGGGCTACGATCCTTTACCTATACGAGGTGCCCTTTACGAACCTTTAGCTCTCTTTCTTTTTTTCTCTTGCGGTAGAAAGAGAAATAAAGAGTCTGGAGAGCCGAAATTAAATCATCGATATGCGACGTCTTTTCGAAGAGATCTTCTTTTACCGGCGCCTCCGAACCTCCTTTTTCCTTTTCGAACACTACGCTGACTACGATCTATACTTGACGGGCATACCGATTGAAAAGACCAAAAGGATTTACGATGAAAAAAAAAGGGGAATAAAAGATAAGATAAGAAGGGCTTAGTTCGATTGATCGAAAACACGGTATCGCGCTTTCGAAAAAGCGTTCTGCAAACACACCGGCTTTATCTAAAGGCTACGAACGCGAGGCTTTTTAGCTCTACGATGAAGGAAAACGATATTTATATTAAACGGATCGAGGCCGCTCGTAAAGCCACACGTATTCGATAATTGTCGAGAGAAAACTCGACGCACAGTATTATAAATTGCTTTTAAAAGGTTTATATCTTGTTTATTTATTTAACGAAAGGTTTTCTTTAACGTGGTTTTTACTTTCGATTAAATAATACTTTGTATATAATTCCTTTACTTAGCACGTCCCCGTAGTACCTTATAGGAGGTCCCTAAGGTCCAAGCATTGCGTTTTGGATACCCGCCCGACGTTAATAAATATAATAACAACAACTACTACTACGTATTTACTGTCTTACTTATAATAGTGGGCCTTGACGTCGCAACTTTTAGGGCCCTTCCTTAAAATGGGCGAAAAAAGTATGTCCCGCGAAAGAATTCTGTCCCGTTTCAACGCAAAAAATGGCGAAGAACGGAAACACTTATTTATATTGCTTATAATATTGCAATTGATATATATATATTATATATATTTAGTAATGTTATTTGTTCTTAATTAAGCC